GGGGACGTAGATCATTGGATTGGATCGAACCTCCATAACATATCGTTTGCATTCTCTATCCCTTTTACTTAACGCATTTACTTTGCGCAAATTTACATTGTTGCATTTACGTGTTTACTTGTGTTTAGACTATTCTCTATCATTTACGTGCTCACTTATTAAAATCTCGAGTGATTAACGAAAGAGTTTTAATAATCAATTCACCCCCTCTTGGTTAGTTATTCTTGGGCTAACAGGTAACCTTTTATCTGATCCCCACACGTATCGACTATTGGTTGGATGCCTCATTTATTTGTGTTAGAACTTAAGTTGTATTGACAATTTTTTAGACAAAATGATTATTATAAAAAAGTTGTAAAAGTCAAGGAGTCTTTTTAGGGTGTTGTATAGATGAATTAAGAGATTGTTGGGTTCGAGTATGGAATATGAAGAAAGAGTTGTCGGATTTATGTTAGTCTGTCGCCTAGCTAATGCTCGAGTAGAAAAAGTAGAATCATTGTCGCCCGCTTGTGGCTCGAGCTACACATATGTCGCTAGCCTGGAGTCTAGCGACAGTCTATTATAAATACCTAATGTACATTACGTTTTTGTGTGTAGTTGATCATTATTTTACATCCTCATAACATTATTCCATGATCCAAGAACATATCCAAACATTGAGATTAAACATTTGATTCTTGAGATCAATCAACCATAAGTTGAGAAAAATATCAAATTCAAATAATCCAAAACACCCACTTTCTATATATAATCAGGAATATACTTTCTCAGTAAATTTCAAATGTTACTAAAGATTGGAGGAGGATGGAATAGAAGCACAAGAAGAGTACAAGAACAAGGCGGTCCGGTGATCCACACGAGATGAACAATTCCAGAAGATCAGGAGCACGTGTGAGTAAAGCAAGTTTCAGTAGGTTTTGGAGATGGCAGGAATTAGATTAGCGAGTGTAGTGAGTTTTCTAGGTTGGATTATACTGTAAGTTCTTATTGTTTATAATGGAAACTACTAACTTGGTCCTAAAATTTTTACCGAGTTAAGGATTTTCTCCGTCATCGATTCTTTGTATTGTTTACATTATTGATTTCATATAAATCGGCAATTCAACATTGAGTAGTTAATTCACGTGAACTGAATCTATAGTAATTAATTATTTTGACTTGGTTTCAAAATTAATCAATGATAATTTTTAATTCCGCATTGTTTACGTATTCACAATCTCTAGGTAATTTTAGGGTCGAACGCTTAACTTTTAGTTTGACCATCAACCGTAATGACATTGCTTTCTCCATGAATACCCTTAGTTCATGCAAAATCCCATGACTTTACACTATGAGACTGCTCTCCGTGTCCTTTGGTATGTCAAAGGCACTCCTGACCATGAACTATTATTTCCTTCTATATGTGATTTTCAGATTTCAGCATTTTCTAACTTTGATTGTGCTAGTTGTCCTACCACTTGACGCTCCACTACAGACTTCTTTATTTGGCTAGATGACATCCCTTTTCTTGTAAAACTAAAAGGCAAAATGTTGTTACACGTTCTTCAGCAGAAGCAGAATATCTTACCATGACCTCTACTATTTGTGAGCTTGTTTGACTTAAATTATTATTGCATGATCTACCACTTTTTCATAACCGTCCCATGCATGCTACTTTTCTATGATAATGAAGATGCATTACATATTACTCGTGATCCCCTTTTTTATGAGGGAACCAAACATATTGAGATTGATTGTCACATAGTTTATGAAAAATACTACTCAGACCTCCTTCTCCCGATGCATGTTTCTTCTTCTCAACAAGTGGCTGATATTTTCACCAAATCTCTTGGTCGAGACCTCTTAATTCATTTTGCTGACAAATTAGGCATTATGGATCTACATGCTCCAATTTGAGGGAGAGTAATTCGTGATTTAAACTTTCATTTAAGAACTAATTCTAATTTCAAATCTTTCTATGTATAGCTCCTTGATTATAGCTCATTTTGATTCAATTTAAATGTATATATATATAAGGGTACATTCTACCAAATTAATGATAAAAGATTTTCCCTCATTCCATTACCATTATCATCACTCACTTATATCATATTGCTTATCTGTCACAAGAAAGTTTACAGGCTTATATAAATTACTATACTTTACAATAATAATTTATAATCATTAAATGTACACATCGTAACATTCATGAAAGCAAGGCAAATCAACAGGAGTAAAGTAAATTTGAAGTCGGTAGAGACATCCAAAATATTTATAACAAAAAAAAGTACAGTTTTCATTTTATTTTTATTTTTGTAAAATTAGTTGTTGATTTTAATCAACTTTTTAGTTGAACCAAATAATTATATAGCCCTATTTGATAGGAATTAAAGTTATATTTTTAGTATATTTGATAAAAAAAAAATGATAAATACATGATTGAAAAGTCGTGGAATCCATGAAATATGCAGTTAAAATAAATTGTTAAAAATAAGGACTTTTGAGATTTTATCGGCACGACAGTGGAAAATTAATACTGAAAATAAAAGTTAGTAAACATTTAATTTATAAAACAATATTACATTTCATTTCTATTTAGTATTGCATGCTAAGCACCTCCAAAGTAAGTATTTTAAATAGAATACAGTAGTGATGATGCTAAAATAGTCCTATACGTCTTCATCTTCTTATCCCTTTGGTTTTCACTCAATTAGATTTTGACACGTCATCATAATTTCAAAGTTCTTCGATTGAAGGAGCAAGAATTTGGAACAGTCAATCCGAACTCAATAATAATATAGTGACAACGGATTGCGATCAATTTAAGACATTACTCCATCTTCTCCTAAAACAAAATAACCTAGTCACTTTTATAGATTATACTTGACCGTTCTATAAACACTCAATTTAGATACTGTTGGAAATTTACTTATCATGCACAGCGAAAATTAAACAATTTTCAATT